TACTCTGAGTCGGCCCTCGCGGTCTACAGATTCGTGTTCTTCATAAGCTAAGCCTGACCCGTAGCTTCTAATCCAGCCTGGTCAAACAACAGCGGCGGCGCATCCCTTTCCCGCTATTTTAAAACTGGGTCCGGTCTCTCCCATGCCTTTGATATAACAGAACTTGCGGCGGCTGGCTGTGCCTACAGTCTGACCGCGCGGAGCAATAGCTGGCGTCTGTTACTCACCGCATCGGCCCCCTCCGGGTAACTAGGTGCTCCGCCATTCTGGTGTCCTCCTTCGTCCCGCTGTTGGAGGATGTCCTCCAAGCCTTCTTGGCCTCCGCCGCGCGATTGCTCGCGCTCTGCCATCACTTCGCTGTTACTGGCGACCGATATGCCAGCAACGTCAAATCGCCTTATCTATTTTACTATTGAGCTGGGTCCCGAATACAAAGTAAATCACTATTTAAACAATTCAAAATCCCCAACAGACGACGTTCTGACTTGCGCTTGCTTGCACGGTTGACTGGCGAACTAGCGTTGTCTGGATTCAGCGCTTTGTTCCCAGCTAATCTTTGTAACGCACTACCGTATCAGTCACTGTCCTCTGGCCAATTCCGGTCTGCTCCTCCCGCGCCGCACTTGCCGTACTACACTACAGGACGAGCACTTAATCAACATGCAATGTTTGACTCCACTTCACTTCATACATTCAAATCTATAGCTCCTTTTTTTAAAACAAAATGATCGATTAAATATCCGGGTATCTGGCTTCCAACAAATTGTTTTTCACCGCCCAAGGTAATCTAGGAGAGCCGTCATCGTATCGTCATCGTCAATCTCAAGCGTCACCAAACTCAAGCGAGGCTGATAGGCCGACATGCGCAACAGCTCAGGCCGGATCGGAGGTCGCCCAGACGGGCCTGACGGCGATGACGGATTGCCTCCGCTGCCGGCGGTCTCGGCCATTGCCGCAAATTCCCTGTCCGCATCGAGCGTCGCCGCTGCCGCTGCCGCGGTGGCGGCGGCTTCAACGCCGCCACTGCCATAGGCCGCTGAAGAGGCCTTGTCCGCCGCCGCCGCCGCCTGGTGGGGCCGCGACGGCGGCGGCGCCACCGTTGGCCCAGCGTCGTCTTCAAAGCCACCTTCCAGTACGACATTATCTTCGTCAGCTTCGCGCATTAAAAGCCGAAGCCCGGCACCGCAAGACGCCGCTGCCGTCGCGGCAGCTCCAGACGCTCCAGTTTCCGCCGGCGCCGCCGCTAGCGGCGGCAGTACTTTGGCCGCGCCGTACTGCTCTTGGCCCCCAACCAGCCCGTGTACCCATTCCCCGCCCATGCCCATCTCCACAGCATTGTCGTACGTTCCGACGTGGCGAAGGACATTGCCGCCGCCGGCGGTGGCGGCAGCTGCCGCAAGCGCGGCTTGCTGACTGGCAGCGGCGGCCTGGGCTTGCAGGACAGCCTGTACGACCGTCCGTACATCAAACACGCATCCACACATATGCACATACACACCCGCACTCAATCGTGCTGTGAGTGCAAAGAGGCGACGTCTTCCATCATCCCAAATTTTTTTTCCCATCATGCATCAGGCAGTACAACAACACATGCTGCAGCACTCACTGTACCGGGCAGTAACAAGTGTCCCCGATCACCCGCCACGGACATTGTACGACAAGCCGTCATAGAGGCCCGCAGATAAATTTTGATATTCCGAGGGGAGGAAAAACCGAAACCACTCCTACAACATCATTTCCCTTTTCTGTGCGCCGTACAAAACCCGAACATCTTCAAATCGGTCCCTCCTCATTGAACCATAAATTTTCCAGCTCGTGTGTGTGGGAGGGTGCAGTTCCAGCTCGGGGCCGGATTTCTCTCCCTACCCCCCTTTCCCCCCAGATGCCTCCCCCCGGCTTTCCCACACGGACCTGCATGTGCGCCTGCTGCTTGAGCTCCAACAGCGCCTCCGGCAGCGGGTCCATGCTCGGCAGGGTGATTTGCGTGAGCGCCAAGCTGCCGGGCATGTACAGGAAGCCACGCGGCTCACGGAATGCCTGCGAGGTGGAGACGGGAACGTGGACGTGCAGGCGAACGGACACACGCAACGGGGGGGGGAGAGGGGGAGAGAAAGGTAGCGCTCAAAAAAAGTTTATTCTTTTTTCTAAGAGTTGATTTCTCGATTTCGTCGTCGTTTCAAAGCTGTCCATCTGCAAGGCTGGAAAAAAACCAAATCCTCCAAAGTTCGCCAAACATTTATTATTATACGTATATCGAATAATACGTATAATAATAAATGTCACGTCGAGGTCCCAAAAAAGAAAACGAAAAGGAGGCAAGGAAAAGGGAAGGACAGCCCGTGAGGCGTACGGCATGGTACGACATGGTACGGCAGGGTGTCCGTTTTTGCAAAAGATGGTTCGCATCAGCAGCAACGAAGTGGTGCACAAGTGAGCACCAGTCATCTTTTTTTCCTCTTTCAGCGCTCGTGTTACCTTTTGCACAAAGGGGTGCAGTTCCTCGAAGGAGTGCGCTGCACTGCAGCGACCAGAGCACGGCACCCCCGCAAAGATGCGGCCGCAGCTGTTTGTGAACCGACCCTTCCGAGGCCGCGATGGAAGACGATGGTCCAGCATTGCCTGAGAGAGAAGTACCACACCACACCACACCACACCAGGCCACACCACACCACACCACACCACACCAGGCCACACCAGGCCACACCAGGCCACACCAGGCCACACCAGGCCACACCACACCACACCACACCACACCACACCACACCACACCACACCACACCACACCACACCACACCACACCACACCACACCAGGCCACACCACACCACACCACACCACACCAGGCCACACCACACCACACCACACCACACCACACCACAAACATGTACATGCAAACTATCAGTCCACCATTTATACACAGCTTATGTGTATGTTACGTACAGGTGAAGAGAGGTTGTGGACCGGGAGGGGAGAATGCAGGCGGTTGGCAGTTGGTGGTTGCGACGGGAACAAGGGGTAGTTAGTGGGGAAAGGTGGGGGGGTTGGTCGGAGAGGGTACGGAAGGGTGGCAAAACACACCGAAAAACACGTGTGCGTGCGTGCGTGCGGGCCGATTCCTGCTGCCCGCTGAGGTACCTGTACCTCCGCCTCCTGCTTAAACCAATCCAACAAACCATCACAACCAACCGACTCCTCCAACCGTTAACCATCAACCATCAACCGACCTTTTCCTCCATCGCTACCTCCACCAGCTTTGAGAAGCGCCACAGATGTACGTGATACACGTATAAGGCCCGGGTCCAGAACATCTCCAGGGCGGGTTCCGTGTCCAGGTGGAATCCAGGGAAGGGCACGAAGCGGGGCGCGGCGCCTTTGTTTCGGAGCGAAACCAGGCACGCGAGCCAGCGGGGAACCCACTGCGTGTGTGTATGTGCGTGTGTGCGTGTGTGTGTTTGGGGTTGGGTGGGAAAGGGGGTTTGGGAGATGGGGAAACGCTGGAAGCGGGGAAGGAGGGGGCTGGAGAAGTAAGGGACAGGAAGGAGCGGAGCCGTCATCTTGAGAAACGGGGGTGGAGCTGGGAGTAGCCGTACGTCCTAACCCCACCAACTCCCCTTCCCCAACTCCCCTTTCCCCTCCCTCCCTCCCCCGTCCCCAGCCCCCAAGTTGTCTGGTCGGTTCGATGTCACTTCCCCCGGGCCGCACCCCTTCACCCCCCTTTCCCACGTCTCCCCCCCCAACCTCCCGCCCCGCTATCACACACACACACATACATACATACATACATACATATATACATACATACAAACTAACTACAGCCCCAAGCGCAATCCCGTTCATTCGCCGTAAGAAACGAACCTTTTCCCCCCCACCCCGAATCGCCCCCTGTCCCTCCCCCTCACTCACGCACCTGCATGCATTGCGCCCGCTGTGGGTCAAATCCCCTACACACAAGGTAGTACGACCCGCGGTGCACGTGGCACGACCGCGGCTTGTACGAGCACACGTCACCGTGAAACACATGTCGCAGCAGGCCCAGTGTCCCCGCCGTGAAGCAATCGGGAAACATGTTCAGGCGCAGTACGAGCACTCCACCGAGTGCCAAGTTATTCGCCATCACAATCAGCTGAGCCACCAGGAGGGCCTTGTGCGCGGCGGTGTTGCTGCCGTACACATTAAACGCTGAATTTTCCGAATCCGGCAATGTCGTATCTTTGTGGATCCAATCCTTGCCGCCCAGGAAGGATCCGTCCAGGATGACCAGTTGACAGGAACTCGCGGGGGGGGTGTCGGGGGCTGCGAGAAAAGGGGAGAAGGGGGGCCCGGGGAAACAGCCTGAGGAGGGAAACCAACAAGTGCAAAACACACACACACACACACACACACACACACGGAATGCGGACACACACACACACACAGCTGCCGGAGGCCGGTGAATCGGTGGAATCCAGGGAGGTGGCACCCAGCCGTGTCGTACCCCGAAACCCCAATCTTCCTTTCTTCGCTCCCCCCCCGACAAGCCCCCGCTAAGCCTTGCACCCATCCCTGGAGGATTTTTTTGTACGGCACTGCTCCACTGCACTCAGCCCTGTGCACAGCCGCGCTCGTAGCCGCACATCACACACACAAACAGACGAACATATACACATCCATAAGTCCCACCTGCGTCCAGTTTCAGAGTTCCCCGGGGACAGCCCGGCACCCCCACCCGCATATCCCCCACGCGAACACCCGCAGCCACCGTCGTCACATCCACGAATTGAAGAAAGTACTTCTCCGTCTGGGCGGGTGGGGATGCGGGGTGGGAGTATGGCCGGGGAGGTGTGTGTGTGCGTGTGTTTGTGTGTGTATGTGTGTGTATGATGGTGTTGGGGGATAATCAAATAAGCATAGAAGGGGATGTACATGCAAGCAATGGCGCTGGGCGACGGGGTAACATGAAAGGTAGGTAGGTAGGTAGGTGGGTAGGTAGTAGGAAGGTAAAGCTGTTTTTCGACAGTTAAAAACCGTTACATCTGTATATGCATCTACATCTACATCTACATGAGAAATGTATGTATAGACATGTTACGTATATGTATATATGCACATGCAAAAATACGTTAACATTTGTGACCCACCTCACGCCCACCCCACCAGCTCACCTCCTGTTCGATAGCGGGCAGGTGACCCCCCAGCTGGGGGGGCAAGCTGAGACCAATGCCCTTCCGGGGTGCCGAGCCGGCCGTCAGCGAGTACGTGGAGAACCCCCCGGGGCAGCAACACACGTCCAAGAACTGGAACGGCTCGGTACGACCGGAGATAAAGCGGTTGTTGGTCTCGTCAATCTCGTACATAATGTACCGCATGCGCTGTTACCGTACGGATGTCGTGCCGGACGTAGGGGGGGTTAGGATGGAGGGAGAGGTGGCATGGCGGGTCGGTAGGTAGGGTGTGGGAAGGAGGGTGTGGTGGGGTGGAGGGAGGGAAAGGTGTGGGGGCGGGGGATGAGCTGTCACTTAAGCCAAACTGGATGCCTGCCCAACCATCCCCACCCCCATCCCCACATTGGTACTGGTACCAATACCGACATCAACACCCACCTCGCGCATCTCATGCCGCATCTCCTGACCCGCCGCCGTCTTCTTACGAGTCGCCGCCACCGCCGCGGTACGTGCGCCAGCGCCGCCGGCGCCGGCGCCGCCTCCACCGGCGCCGCCTCCGCCTCCGCCGGCACCAGCCGTCGGTATCGGCATGGGCGCCGGCGGACACCTAGGCATTGCAAAGCCCATAGGGGCCCCCGGCATGGCGGCGGCGGCTGCTGCTGCGGGCATGGGCATAGGGCCCATCCCCATGGATCCCATAGGGCCCATTGGCATAGGGGTCACACCCATGGGCGCGGGGCCCATTCCCATTGGATACATTTTTCAAAGTTGACTCTTTCTCTCTCCTCTCCTTCTCTCTTGCCTGCTACTGCTGCTGCTACTTAATCTCTTACTCGCCTGTCGCGGCGTCCACCCGGTGCTCCCACGCGCCCAGCTCAGCTAAGCCAACCCAACTGACCCACGGGTCATACGAACGGTCGCACACCACGCAACCCAAGGCCCGCAGGCCTTTTCCCCAAGTGGCGGGGACGGGTGGGCGGCAGGCGGCCGGGCTAGGCCACCACTACGGTAAGGGAGCTTTCAAGGTTTGCCGCGATCTGGTTTGTTGCGGTTCTGGCCTCGAGCAATTCTCCGGCGTCTCGGATTCGAGGCGCTCCGAAACCACCTTTTACGGCAGGATCGTGAGAAGAGTTCTGCGAAGGCGGTCGTGAGAGGGGACGCGTGGAGGGGGGGGGAGGAGGAGAGGGCAGTGGGCGGTTGGGGTGGAGTCCTGGCTGTGCTGTGCTGTCACACTGGGGTTTAGGCTTCGGAGAAGAAAGGGTCCCTAGGCCGCGGCGCCCAGTTTCATGCTGCTGTTCCTTCTTCTGCTGCTGCTGCTGCGCTGTTGTCAGCGCCCACGGAGGGCATTATTTGGATATAGATAGGCTTTGCGTGTATAGAAAGCCTAAAGACCATATGCACAAGTGCGTGCGATTCCTAGGGGCCAAGGAGGTGGGACGGCAGTGAAGCGCGAGGGGGGCGTGTCGTTCAGGCGGGGTGTCATTCAGGCGAGTAACGCAGGTACGATGCGAATCACAAGATGTATCTGAGATACAATGGCCGACCGCCGCAGCAAAAGCGCGGGTTCCACGCGCCGCGTGGTGGCTTATGTTCATTCTCTAGGACGTTATGACTGATGAAAACTATGGACGAGCCTGAAGATCGTTACCTCTCCGCTTCGGGCTGCCGTTTAATAAACAACAGGTTGCCTTTTCTCGATGCCATGAAGCAAAATAGTATGGCAATTTGTGGATCAAGGTTGGCGACCAGTCACAGCTGCTTCTTGGACAGTAATTATACGATTCCTAAGAAACAAACGAAGGAGACCGTCGTGCAGAGAGATGTGGCCAAGGCGCAATCGCAAAGCTTCAGGTTTCCAGTCGTCTGCTGGATTAAGCTTGGAATGAAATAACGACGCCGGTCGCAGGTGATGTAATGTCGCCATGAATGTGTAACTGTTGGGAGCCTAAGGTCTCATGCTCTCCTCGGTCATGGCGCTAGGCGGGACATGACCGTCATAACCGAACAACGGACATAACCGCTAGACCCTTCCTGAGGAAACCAGCGATACCAGATAGCAGATACCAGGATACACCGTTACGGCGTGGCCTTCCATCTTTCCCAGCTCATTAATGCATTGCGTACGCTTGCATTTTGCTGTAATGCGTAGGAGCTAGACCGGAAGAGTGTCCTCTCTATTTCCGCTTAAGGCGAGACCGCTACCTCAGCTTCGATTGTGGTTTTAGTAACATGTATTGAGACAGGAGTTCATGCGGTGGCGTAGGATTGCAGCAGCGGGTATGTGATGGCTGCATGCATGCGGTTTGTAAGGCCTCAAAACATCACCAACGCGCACGGATACCTACAATGATGTTGATCATATTGAAACGGCAAAATTTGAGCATGGGGAGCTTTCGGCTTCAGCCAGGCTCCTAGGTGGTGCCAGTACACTCGTACAATAGCAAGGCGATTGATCACTCTTGACTCGTTTAGGTGTAAAGGAGTGGACAGCGCTATGTGAAACATATCATCTTGTTAAACCTACTGTTGCGGTTTCTAAAACGTTCAGGTGGAGCAAGTTGGTCCCCTTCCTGGAGTCGGCGGCCAGGGTCCGGCTAAGTCCACCGTTCGCTGCAATTTTCTTTCTCTTCCCCGTGGGTTTGTCCTCGTTGAACTGCCAGCGAGGCTTAACTCAAGATGGTGCGCGGTCCCAAGAAGCACCTCAAGCGGCTTAATGCCCCCTACCACTGGATGCTTGACAAGCTGAGCGGCATTTTCGTAAGTCAGATAGAATAAGTAGATTATTATAGAAAGCCTAAACTGCTTGCGGGAGCTTGGCATTCAACTCGGCGGCGCCGTGGACGTCGCGCTATAGTCGCCTGGAAACATCAACTTACTGTTGGACTTTATTTGCACATACTTAATATATTACAGGCTCCCAAGCCGTCCGCTGGTCCTCACAAGCAGCGTGAGTGCCTGCCCCTGCTGCTCATCCTGAGGAACCGGCTGAAGTAAGTGGCTGTGCCTTGAGCAAGAAATTGCATGTTATCATGTTTCAGTTGGTTTGAAATTACAGTAAATAGCAGCTGATTCCAGCTGCATTCGGCTCAGCGGCGGCTTGGACGGCGAGGTTGGCGGCAGACTGTTTAGCAGCAGCGGCGGGAATCAGGCGACTGAAATTGCGGCAGCAGCGCATCAAACAGATCTGTGCAGATTGCCCTGAAAGCCGCCGTCTGTCGGCTGGCTATGCTTCGGGCGAGTGGCATTGTGGCTCTCAGAACATCGGTCACCTTGCGGCAATGCAGCGGTGGAATGGCTGTTTTGCGTCACAGAATGCGTTTGCACGCACGTCGGAATAGCCCACAGTTGATTGGGGATGGTATCCTGGCGCTGGGCTTACCACCCGATAACACCTTAGGGGAATTGCTGGTCCGCAGACTCAACGCCGCTTTCGGGACACGCTGCTTTCCACGCTACCCACCAGCTGAACACATTGCCACGCGACGTGGTGCATTCAACCAATGTGGAAACCCATTTCGCCCCGCATCCCTGCGCATCGTCACCACCATTACTGCAGGTATGCACTCACCGGCAAGGAGGTGCAGTCCATCCTCATGCAGCGTCTGGTGAAGGTGGATGGCAAGGTTCGCACCGACCACACCTACCCCACCGGCTTTATGGATGTGATCAGCATTGAGAAGACGGACGAGCACTTCCGCCTGGTGCTGGACACCAAGGGCCGTTTCGTGGTCCACCGCATCAGCAAGGAGGAGGCCGCCTACAAGCTGTGCAGGGTGAGAGCGCAGTTTGCCTCGGCAGACAGCACGAAGATTGCCTGCATAGCCAGCCTGGGTTGCTCGGGGTCAAGTTTTAAGGCGGCGACAGCAACATGTCGGCACATTAACGCAACGGACATGGAAAGGTTTTGTGAAGCATCCTCGTATGGCAGTGCAGAGGAGGCGGTGGCGGTGCCCTGTGGCTGGACAGCTATCTGACAGGGGGGTTCGTAGGAAAGGTACCGCAGGGCGTCCATGCTAACGTCTGCAATGTGAACAGGGTTGTTATAATGGCCCTGGGTATATGAAAATCTATGTGCCGTTGTATACAATATTCTGATTAGGTCGTAGAATGATGGGCTAATCACAAATTGCTGGCGGGTCGCTGATGCTCAATGATTGAGAGAGCTTGCTTACATGCGACGGGTGAGAACGGAATGGTGGAGGTATTTATGTCTTGTGGTGCTGCGGGCCGTGCTCTGCATGAAGTCTTCCCCGCGGTGGCCATATCGTTGCTGTCCTGGGGCCCTAACTCGTCCCCAATGTTGCCACATTCCAATCCCGCCGCTGACAGGTTCGCAAGGTTCAGTTCGGCAAGGGCGGTGTGCCGTACGTGGCCACCCACGACGGCCGCACCGTACGCTACCCGGACCCGGAGGTCAAGGTGAGGGGCACGTGACTTGAGGGTGTGTGCAAAATGGGTAAGGGCAATATAAGGGATGCTGGAATGTGTCACAAACGTTTCTCCAGCCAAGTGGGCGGTGAGGGCACTAATTGTGGGGATGACCAGGAGGGGTGAGGGGTTTTAGGGGTCTAGCAGCCGCCTTGAGCACTGAGTATCCTGTCCAACGAGGATATAGCGCGTGCTTCGTTGTGGGCCCAACTCAGAATCGTATGTAATGCTGCAGGAGAGTCTGTCCAATGAGCGTGTCTGCCCGCCACTGGGAAAGAACGATTCCGTTTAGGGATTATTCAGGTTCCTCCATTGCGAACTTCAGCTAGCTTGCCATAGATCCCTTGGGGTGTTGCGTAATACGGGAACGGGACCCTGACCTCTTTTGTATATTACCTGGATAACCTCTTGATGGTAACATCGCTACTACCGCTTCCGCATCGTCGCGGTGTTCATCGGTTTTTGATACGAGCCTGTAATGATCACGTTTGACGAACAGCTTGCGGGACATTTTTTTTGGTCAGGTTCGGAACAGTATGAAATCGTCATGCGCATCTATCCCCGGTGTGTGGATAGATTTGTGGCTTGGCATCTTGACTGGCAATGTCGTGCGAACACTTGTGCACATCGTCCGAGTAAAGATTTGCGCAAGCGCCGGCTCTATTAATACGCTTTTGACCCTCATGGCTTGGCGAGGTCAGGGAAATTGCCCCAATACTCTGTTTCAATGCCCGGCCTATGCTATGGCTTTTTAGCCGCAACCATGTGGCCAGTCCTGATGTCTGGTGGTTTATTTTACAACACGCACCCGCCATACTATGCCCCAATTTCTCTGCGCTCTTTAGGCTAACGACTCGGTCATGCTGGACATTGAGACCGGCAAGATTAAGGAGTACGTGAAGAACGATGTGGGCGCCCTGGTGATGGTGACGGGCGGCCACAACGCAGGTCGCGTGGGCAAGATCGTCCACAAGGAGAAGCACAAGGTGCGTGGGCAATCATGTGTGTGGTTCATGGTGGGAATGTGGGTAATCGGCGTTCAGTCGAGCGCGCACCATTATTTAGGAACCGACCTGGGTGGTTAAGGGTTTCCTAGCATATACTGTGGTTACTTGTGAGTTCGGAAAGTTTGGGTTGAGAAACCCATGTTGCGGAAGAGGTATAATCGCTTGGTTTTGCTTTAGTTTTGAACTTCAGCGGCTGTAGATAACACATTCTAAATGGGTCCTCTTAAACAGGGTTCCTTCGAGATTGTGCACATTGAGGATGCCGCCGGCAACCGCTTCGCCACCCGCCTAACCAACATTTTCGTGATTGGCAAGGAGGGCAAGCCGCTTATCAGCCTGCCCAAGGGCAAGGGTATCCGCCTCACCATTATCCAGGAGCAGAAGAAGCGTTACGAGGCTGCCTCGGCGTAAGCGCGCCGGTGCGATTGTCGCGGTGTAGTTCTCTTCTGTTGCCGCTGCTGGTGTAGCAGCGCTCTGCTGCTGTGCTGGTTGTGTACTCGTCCTGGATGTGTAACGAAGCTGTCGCTGCGGTTGCACGGGCGTCCGTATGGCTTGCTGGAACTCGTTTGGCTGCCGCTGGCAGAGCGCCCCGACTCTTGTCACGTTATTCGCCAAAAGCGGCCTCGTGCCCGGGGATCCTTTGCAGCGCGGGCAGCCCTGGGGTGGTGAGCTGCAGTGCTTCGAAAGGTGGAAGAGAAAGAAATCAGGAACACTCCTGTCGACGATTTGACGACGGGGTGCACAGTGGCGCGTCCTGTGTAACCCGATGAAAAAGGCAAATGAGCTGCCAAATCGCCCAGTCTGTTCCACATGCGTTCGTTAGAATTAGGAAGGACAGCGAGTGCAGCTGAGGGCAGCAGAAGATAAAAAAAATAGGACCAAGGAATGTACGCAGCTTCTGTGGCACCTCTTGGTGGTCCCCTAGCAGCCTTGTCCTGAATCGGTAGGGAAACCACTTAGCAGAATCGGTGAGCAGCATGGACGCGTATGTCTCCGCCAATCCGCGATGTACCTGAGCGTCCCGGCGCGCAGAAGCTGGCTCCATAGGAGCATGTTTCAAGTGTGGATGCTACATAGCTGTAAATCGCTTAGACATGACCGGCTTTGTTGCTGGTACAATTCTTCAAGTATCTTACACCTCCGAAACGCGCCAGTCCCACGCAGCAGAACTCATATACCGGCCTGTACGCGCACGCCTGAAGGGGCCCCGAAGGGTCCCCGACTCGTGCATGCAGTAAACAGTGTAGTCAACGCTGTCCCTACACCATCGCTCCGGAACCACAGACCCAAAATCAAGACGCAGCGTGTATGGCCATAGACGTACACGCTCGTGTCAACGGGAGAAGTGATAAAAGTGTGAGCTCCTACACGCCAAGTGCTACGCAGTAGCCCTGGGTGTAGTAGCGGCAGGAGCAGCAGGCTGTAACAGCTCCATCACGCCGTGGGCTGCCGCGCCCAGGTGCAACAAACCCCGTGCGGCGGCTGGATCCGAAACCAACTCCCCGGCGCCCGGCAGCTGCAGCCCGTCCATGTCGTCCACCGTCACTTCGTACACCTTGTCACCGTACAAATATGCCACGTACAGTAGCCTGGAATCGGCGGAGCCTGGCGTGGGGTCGGCAAAGCCCATTTGGTTCTTCTTGGACAAACCCGGATGCAGCGTCAGCTTGGAGTCCGAGACCTGGTATTGCAACGCTGACGTCACCGAGAGCCACGGCGGCGGCAGCGCCGGCGGCTGCGTAGCGGCCCCAGTGGCACCGTTCCCCGGCGTGGAGGCTGCCGCCGTATCGCGGCCGCTGGCGGAGGCAGTAGCATGGCTACCGCTTCGATCCTCCAGATCTGGATCGGTGGGTCCGGCAGCGTTCGCCGGCGTGGTCGCCCCTGCCACTGCCGCCGCCATCGCGGCAGCCACGTCCCCTGACCCGTCAGCACTGGAGGCTACAGCCATAGCACCCACAGCAGCCCCCTGCTGTTGCCCGCCTTCTGCCAGGTACGCCTCCACTTTGCCGTACACCGCGTCGAGAACGACAAGCCCGGCTGCGGGGCGCTTGGCGGCCTCCGACCGTGCCTTGCGCCGGGCGACCGGTTCGATTAGCGAGCGCTCCGAAAACGCCTGTGAGCCGTCGACACAACATGAAGTCGTGAAGAGCCAGGAAATTAAGACCCCATGAAAAAAGCATTTTCATCACAGGTGCCTCTTCACTGGCTTGACCATAAGACCATCACACAAAGACACATACACCACAGACGCGGCGCGTGTGGACATCTGTGCCCAAATACCACCAATGCAACCCACCAAGACGGCACACCTAGGTGCGAAACCCATCGAACAGCAACAAACCCCAATGTCAACGTCGACGGCAAACCCTCCCAGCCCCCAGCTCCCAACCGCATTTTCGACGGAGCGAGTCCCACCGACCCACGCAAGCTCTGACCCACCCCCACAGCATAAATTACAACGACTCCTAGTGTATACTACTAGGAGCCGCACGTGTGCTGTCAGTAAGCCAGGAGACTGCTGCTGATGCTTTGCTGATGCTCTACTCACCTTCTGCAAGGATTCCCGGATAGCATCCGCGTGCTGCTGCTGCTGCTGCCGCTCCCGCCGCTGACGGTGCCACCGAGCCAGCGGCCGCACCACAAACCTGCGGTGGGTCAAGAAAGGGCGCGTGGGCGGGGGTGGGGGTTGGGAGGGTGTGTTGTTGGCATATCAGGACTCGGACGGGAAGGGAAAGGGAGCAAAGGGGAAGGCAAACGTGCGCGAAGTGGGTCACACACACCGACCGCTGAACGCGCATTCCATCCATCTCCTCCCTTCGCTCCCTCCCTCCGTCTTCCCCCCGGGCTGGAATTCTATCGCTCCCCATCTGTGCCCGAGCGGGTTCAATTGTCTTGTCTTAAACTCAATCTCACCCGCCACACACCTATTAAATATTAAAGCACACGCACACATGTTGAAGTTTGTTTGCATTGTTTTAAACATGTTTTTGCGCAATTACTTGGCACCACCTGGATACGACAATGTAGGCCAGCGGCGGCGCCACGTACGCCGCTGCCAGAGCCGTCCAATCGGAATACTGGTGGGACAGCGTGACGGGCACCTCGAAGGTTTGACCGCCGCGAACCAGACGACCCTGAGGTGAAGGTTGTGGTGAAGGTTTGTGTTGAAGGTTGAGGTAATGGAAGAGGGAACGATGTGATGGTTGCCAAATAGGTAGTGGGATAGATATTCCTGCCAAGTTGTGAAGCGCTCTCGGATGGGGCTGGCTGTCCCCCGGATTGGGCCTTCGTTCGTTCGTTCGTTCGTTGGTTCGGGGCTTTGATGCTATATGTATACAAATATATAACATAATATATATTATACAAATAACATCATACAAGATGTCTTGGAAAGGGAAAGCCTAAACCCGGGTGTGCTCGACGCTCATTCGTTCATTCCTTCACTCGCACAATTCGAAAGGCACGGCCCTCAACTGAGGTTGATCTGTGGCCTACGAGCTACCTGCGCCTCCAGGTGCGCCTCTCCCATTTGACTGGTGTGGTGGCTGGACTCCGGTGCTTTGTGTTCTTGCCGCACCCTCCCCTCCCCTCTCTTTCCCTCCCCATCCACCCACCCATCCACCCACCTTGATTGACACTCCCTGGGTCCCGATCACGGAGCCCACATAGCCTGAGAGTGGCGTGAGGGCGTGTGTGAGGGCGTGTGTGTGAGGGCGTGTGTGTGAGGGTGTGTGTGTGAGGGCGTGTGTGAGGGTGTATGTGTGAGGGCGTGTGTGAGGGTGTGTGTGTGAGGGTGTGTGTGTGAGGGCGTGTGTGAGGGCGTGTGTGTGAGGGCGTGTGTGTGAGGGTGTGTGTGTGAGGGCGTGTGTGAGGGTGTGTGTGTGAGGGCGTGTGTGTGAGGGTGTGTGTGTGAGGGCGTGTGTGAGGGTGTGTGTGTGAGGGCGTGTGTGAGGGTGTGTGTGAAGATGGTTTGCCCCCATCCATCGCCAAACCACTCCGCAAAAGTGCAGTACATTCACTCGCACATTCAGTCTGGTGTCCCTTTCCCCCCTTACTCCCTCCTCCCAGTCGCCCAGCTGCCTGCGCAACACTTCAGGTCCCCTCCCCTCCCCTCCCCTCCCCTCCCCTCCCCTCCCCTCCCCCTTGCGCCCCCTAGCTCACTCCCCCCAACCCGCGGCCAGTTTTACCGCTGGCATCATGAATGCACTCAGCAATGCGCTATATCCCCGGGGGGTTCCCTGCCTCCCGGCTGGTCGCGGCCCCACGCAGCCTCACGATTCGCGACCCCGCTATCCCTCTATCTCTCACCCGCCCTCGCTCACCTAGGCTGTTCTTGCCCCACTTCCTCCCCGCCCCCAGCTCCAGGTCCAGCCCCATAGCCCCCGCCCGGGCAATGGCCCTCACGTGCACGGAGGGCGTCACGTGGTACACCAGCCGGGCGGAAATAGACGTCATGGCGCCCAGGTCCAATTTGCCTGGGTGGAACATTTTGGGGGTCGATAGGGGGGTACGTGGATAGGGGGGTGGGGGGTGAGGTGTGTGTGTGTGTGTGGGGGGATTGAGTAGTATTTGAGTGAGGGGGAAGGCAAACCACAGGCGAGGGACGCAAACGCCAGAGGAGGTAGAGTGAAGGGGGGAGAGCGGGTATATGAGGGGGTGGGTGGTAGTAGGGAGAATCATCATCATCTGCTTGTGTGCCGTGATGGACATCCAAGAAACACGGAAGGTCGGAAGAAGACCAGTGGATTCCGCGAAGACATGCACAATTCCTCCCTCTCCTCCCCCAACAGACTACCTGCGGCCAAGTACTTGGGTCCTCGTTTGGAGATGTTGAAGCTAATACCGGACATCGGCGCGGGGCCCACCACCCAGCCCAGGGTTGCCTGTATAGGAGGACACGACCTCAGCACCGCACGCAAGAGGCACGTACGACGCACATACATACATACATACATACATTCACACATGCACGCACACGCGCGGCGCCAGAAATGGGAGAATAAGGGAGGAAGGACAGGGGCGTATTAGGAAGTTTAAAAACATACGCCTAACAAACATTCCCCTGGTGCCGATTCATCCACTTGCTTCCCTCCCTCCCTCCCTCCCGCCCTACCTACAAACTACCTTCCGAACAATCATATGTACCGCAAACTTCCAGGCTCATGACTACGCCGTAAAAAAAACCGTAGGGCCGCAGACCACCTCTAGCAGGCCCGGGAGGCGATATCCTCACATAGCCAGCCCCCCCCGGGCCCCTCTGGCCTGCCAACACCAGACACGCACTGTAGTTAAAACTTCACACATCTCTCAAAGATTTCCAAATATTTCATTCCCCTCCATCGCCAAACAAGGCCAAACAGGGACCCCTGGTGGTCCATTTAATAAGGAATTTGGCCAAAAGGGGGATTGCAAAAAAAAAAAAACGCGATTCTCCCGTTTGTTGTACGGAACGTACCTGCATGTTGTACGGCAGATGCCTTGTCGTGCTGACCTGCATGCCCGTCCCCATGCCAACTGTGTAGCTCGTGGTGACGGAGGCCGAGGTGAACGGCGTCAGCTGTACGGCATGTGCAGGACAGATGACAAGAGACGAAAGGGAGGGTTGGGTTGGCTTGGCTTAGGAAATCGTTGGGGCTCCTTATCGGGGGCTTTGGCTGGGGGCGTTGATGACCGCAAGGCTAGCCACAGGGGCTCATGGAGCCCGCCTCACCCACGGCCCCAGCATAGTCATCAAAACCTCCGGGCCCTCACAACCTCGCAACCTCTCACCCCACACATGCACGCATGCTTGCAAAATATAAAACGATTTCCCCCCCAAAAAAAACACAAACCCCAGCCCCCTGAGCCGTAGCGAAATCTCTCCTTCCCGACCATCGCTCGCTCCGCGCTATATACCGTACGGTGCCGTACCTGCCGAGTTGACGTGACCGTAGCTGAAGGTCGCGGCCCAAGCACCGCATTAATGTCGAGGGAATCGTGCTGTGACAGCACGCGGCGGTACCCGAAGATCAAGCTGCCTATTTAGGAAACAACGCCCAAGAGGAGGTGATGGGAGGGAAGAGAATAAATATGCAGTGTGTAGAATGGAAGCCGTCGCCAATTAGGAACGAAACCCGACCCAGCGCCGTCGTCGGCGGCTCGCATGCGCAACCGCATGGTTTCTCCCAAAGGTGCGCGCCCCTAACGACAGCGCCCTTCCCCTTCTACCCCTACCCTCATCCTCAACTCACCCGATCTTTCAACCACCACCCCTTTTTCCCCCTCTTGCCCAACCCTTCCCGTTCCTCCCAAACCCTCCGCAGATGTTCCCCCACAGGCACAGTGTTGTCAGAGCGTAATCACGGAGACACACACAGACACACAAACAGACACACACACAGACGGCGACACTCACCCGCCCCCGCATTCGCCCTCAGCGCCGCGTTTCCCTGCATGTAAAACACGTCCGACTCGCCCACCGGTGTGTCGATGGAGTTGGTGACGGTGGCCGCCCGGAACAGCGGCCGCTGCCCCGCCAGACTGGCCCGTGGGTCACTCAGGTCAAGACGACACATGTAAATGCCGCGGTGGTTGGAAAGCAGCTCCGCGCGGTCGGCCTCCTGAACGGATATATGTGGTATGCGTGCCGTACGTGTGTGCACATGTATGTATGTATGTATGTATGTGTGGCCATATACCCCCGGCCCCCTGGCGGATGGTGCGGCCGTCCATGCCGGACTTGGCTTAATCGGCCTGCCTCCGCCCCACACCAACATGACTAGGTCGAGGCGAAAACAAAAAGACTCATAACACACGCTCACAAGCAGAACCACAGAATACAGTACAACCCCCCAACAGATAGAAACAAACCCACCTGCTGCTTTTTAAACTCCTCCCACTTCTTCTTCAGATCCTCCACGGAGTCAAGCTTGGTGCCCACTTCAAAGCCTGCGGAGTTTCGCACAGAAATTGCAATTGCCGTACACATATTGTCCGTCCGTCACTCTTCATGGCAACCCACTCCCCGCGCCCACCCGAGATATGGAACTAATGGTTGCGCATACAGCGCAATGGGTTGTGCGTTGGTCTCGTTGGTCTCGGGGATGCGAGCGGACATGCGGGCTAGTGGGAGGGTGGTGGTGGCGGTGGCGGTCAAGGGTTTGAGGTGGGCAGGAAGGTCCGGAGCTCCGTTGCCGTTATGGAGTTCTCACAACTCTGCTGTGTCCTTCCGCGGTGTACGGGTTGGATAGACGGATACGCGTCGTCCCAGAACGGGGGCCCGTACGTAAGTCATCTGCGCCAAGTCACATTGGGCAGAGCGGTCTTACATGCCACAGCTGCGCCTTTCCCCCACATACGCCGCAGCGCACCTGCAGCCAGGCCCTCCTTGCCATACACATCGTAGACCTGGCGGCGCTGCGGGTCCGAAAGCACCTCATAGGCCTCCTGTGAGGGTGCGATGACAGGCGGGGGAGTAGTAGTTAAAATCGGGTGCAGGATTGGGGCCGACTGCCGATCAGAGGGGGCGGCCCTGGCAAACCTGGAGACGGTTAAAAGCCTGTTCCGCCTTCTTTTTCTGCTCCGGGTCCGTGTGCTTGTCCGGATGATATACTTGCGCTAGAGTACGGTATGCTCTGCGTATGTCCTCATCCGAAGCATCTCGGGGGACGTTCAAAACTGCGTAATACTCGGCGAAGTCATCAGAGAGAATATCGAGATCAGGATGCGCCATGGTCTAAAAGCGTCATATGATGAGGTATCACACACCAATAACTTTGGCTGTCCAATCCAAACTTCTATTCAACCACGACGAACGCTGGCATCGCTTAGCAGGGCTAAAAGGAAACTCTTTGCCATCGTCAACGAATAGGAGTTGCAGATGCGATATCATGTTTGGTCAGAGCGGACATCATGCGAAGGACCCATCCGTCCATAGGTCGTCGTGAAACGCACTCTCCACAGCCAACACGAATGTTTTCCGCGGCCGAACATTCAAATAGCCATACCTGTCAATATTTTATGACTTGGAAGCATTACTGCATACCATAAGCCTATTCATCCATCAAACGACTGACCGACAAACGTACTCCGTTCCCCGAAGGCCTTCATCGCTCCATCTTCCTGTGGAAGATGATGGACGATGCAATAAGAGATGGCACCATACAGATTGATTCGCTTAGAAGCCGACGCCTGGGCACCTACACGCACACCTATACGCAGCGCGATGCGATGCTTTACGCGCTTGGGCTGGGATGCACAGCAGGTGTGAAACGCGTACCCAACTCAACTTCATCTGTATTGTGAAGGCAAATCTATGCGGGGAAACAAAGACGCCAGAGCGCAAAGCCAGGACATCCGACACGGCTCGGAGTTGGAACGCACGGTGGCAGTGGGATCAGCAACCCCCCTGAAGTTTGCACGTGCGCTCCTTTAACTCACCCCACGTGTGGACGTCGGTTACTACATGTTTAGTTGGTTGGTTGATTGGTTGACTGGTTGACCTTTAGTTATAAAGTTAGGGTCCAAATGAGTTTGATGTACCCACTTACGTGGTGTTTGCGCGGTGTTGGGTGCAACTGAAGCCCTATACTTCCGGACATGACAAGGAAAGAGTGTAGGGGGTGGAGGTGCGATATACTGGGCACGTGGGGGAATGCGGTCGGTTGCGAAACCGACTTCCAAAGGCCACCATAAAGGTTGCCCTTTATGCCGCCCCACCGCACCCCGAAGGAATTTGAAGTCATACAAAAAAGGTTTTTTAAAGGTAAACGTCTGCCCGTGGTGTACGACGATGGCCCGTACACCTCCTTGCTTCCGCCTTCCCCCCGCGTGCCAACCCACTTGAAGCCCATACACATACACACACACACACACACACATCCACACACACCGATTCCCCTCGCGCCTAACAAACTTTCTCGGCCGTGCAGAGTCCGACCTGCGCTACGTGTACGAGGGTGCTGAGGACTTTGCCGTACTGCCCACGTACGCCATTGTCGCGGCACACCCCTCCCTGGCGCTCGTCCCGCTGGAATCGTACTTACCGGGCGGCCTTGACCGGGTACGATACAAAAAACACACCTTTTCTCACTGCGGCGGCACGGACCCCGCACCAGCAATCCCAGGACTATTCAACACTCCCTCTCTCCTCTTCCTCCTCCTCCTCCTCCTCCTCCCCCCGCCTTCTACGCTTCACACGATTGTCTTTGCAAACCCCCACCAGCAGCAGCCGCACGTCCTAACCTATCATGCACTCCTCATACACCCTCAAACACTTCCAAGATACACATCTTCCAACCCCTCCCCCCCCCCACACACACACGCCTACCCGCAAACCTGCAACCCGTTCCAAACTCCCCTTTCACCCCTTTTCCTCCCCAGCCATGCAGGTTGGCTATGAACTCCTAACTCCGTTAACCCCCAAACCCCGGCAGCAGGAGCTTCACTCGTTCGTGGTTCGTCTTCCCCCCCCCCCACACACACACACCCATGCACGTTCCCCCCTCAGA